GCAGGGGAGCGCAACCCTCGGTGTCGTGCCCGTGCCGGGCCGGGGCCGGCAATGGGATCGCAACCCTCGGCGCTGCGCCCGCACCTCGCTCAGCCAGTGAGCGCACCGGCCATCCCTATATAGGATCCGACCCCGCGGCGGGAGCGCCGCTGCGCTCCCAAGCGGCGCACTGTAGCAGTGCGCCACCGGGCCGGCCCTCTATCTTTTTAAATTAGATGATGTATTATTTGTCCTGGAGGTGACTCCTAGCAAAGATTTTTTGCCTTCCTAAACAATCAAGCTTTATATATAGAAAGTTATGGGAGGTTCCTCCACCTAGAGAAAGGGTGATGTTTCTTGGGTTTACTTCTGATTTTATTTAATGATAGGTGATGCAGAATCATCTCTTTTCACCTTTACAATATGGGATAAATTTAGCAGGCTCTTTGGCATTTTTCTCTTCAATCAAGACCTTATAGAATCTCTTAACTTATTTATTCGCATAGTGATAGATCTAAGCAATCATAAAATATTTATTCCAGGAGTACTGACAAGGGTCTGGCATATTGTGCTTTGTACTCACTCGGGCTTTGCAATAGTGGTTAGATTATTTCATTCAGGAAATTGCCTTTCTTAGTAATTGCAATCTGCATTACAGTGGGCTTTAGTCACAGGTGGACAAAGTTCACAGGGACATCTCCCAAGGAAGGTGGTCTTTGAGTTGTAAATTACAAAATGAAGCTGGAGAAGAAATATCCCACTTGTTGGGAAAACAACCTGGGTAAATGTGTAGAAGGGAGGAAAAGACTACCAAGAAGATGAATTGGGCCAGATCAAAACATTGGGATGTAACAAGGGACCTAAGAAGACAGGTGACTTAGCTCAAATAATAAAACAGGAATGTCTTTCTTGGAGAGTCTTGAGCTTACCTACAAAAGAGTGCCTTGTTTTTAAGGGCAAAGCAGGCATATATGAGGGGTCTTCAAAAAGTTCATGGAAAGATTCATATTATCTTTTTTTTTTTTCCTTTTTTTGTGTCCGGCAACGGATCGCAACCCTCAGTGTCGCGCCCGTACTGGACCAGGACCGGCAAGGGATCGCAACCCTCGGCGCTGCGCCCGCACCTCGCTCAGCCAGTGAGTGGGAACCAGTCTGTATGTGGGATCTGAACCCTCGGCGGGAGCGCCGCCGCGCTCCCAAGCGGTGCACTGTAGCAGTGTGCCACCAGGCCGGCCCCATATTATCTTTTAATTCTGTTTTTCTACGAACTTACTGAAGTACCCCAAAACAAGAAAGACTATGCATTTCTTGATCACTGGACAGTATGAGGATTGCAGGGCCCAGGGGTGCTCTGTTATAGCTCAGGATATATGAGGCTTGAGGAAGACAGTAGGAAGAAAGGAGTCATCCTTGATGTATGTGTGCTAAGCCTTCCTTGGAATCTTTCTTCTCATATGTCTTTTTTGTGATTTCCAAGCAGATGACCCCACTGGAAGATATTGAAAAGGACCTCAGTGATCCATTTTTCAATTCAACGTATGTCAAGGATATCTTCAGTTACATGAAGGAAAGAGAGGTGTGTAGGTGACTGGGGTAGGGGACTATGATTTCTAGTTCTCATTTCCTCATCATTCCATCCTCCAATATGCAAGTTGAAAGGGGAGGTAATAATGATAACGAAAATAATAATGTGAACATCTAACATTTATTTGTAGCTTATTGTGAATTGGACATTGTGCAAAGGGATTTATAGATATTATCTTGTTTAATCCTCCCAATAACTTCATGATGGTAGGTATTATTACCTTCTACACATAGGGGAAACTTCTCAGAGTCACACAACTAGTATGTGGTAGAGCTGGGATATGAATTAAAGTCTGATTAACTTGAAGACCATAATCATGCACCTCTAATTGCTGAGGAGACAGTCTCCGACACATAAATGGTGAAGTAGTCTTATTCTGAGTGGTTGCTCTTCGAGATCTTTTTTTCTTTTTCCCTCTATGCATGTTTCTGGCATTGTATGTAAAATCATACCTTTTGTTTCAGCTTTCCAACCTGGTGAAATTTTCTTTCTCCTTTGAAATCTGCCAGTCTCCTTTATCACTAATTATCAATTACAAATCTTCTATCTCACAATGGAACAGATTTTCTACCAAGTAGAAGTTTTAGCAGGCCATGTATAAGAGGGTGGGTGAATATCTAGTCCTTTCTATAGAGAGTGATTAACTGTGTGATTCCAAAGCTCAGTGCTTTTTCTAGTATACCTTGGAAGAAGTAAGAGGCAACCTTTTTATTCTAGAAGTGTGAGCCTTTGCTCAGTAGTAGCAATTTCACTTGGGATCTTGTTAGAAATGCAGAAACCTAAGCCCCACCCCACACCTTCTAAATCAGAATCTGATTTTTTTATAAGATCCCCAAAGTAGTACATATGTATGTTAAAGTCTGAGAAGCACTGCTCTACACTGCGTGGTATTGTGCTTTAGGGTGAATTGCAAAGAAAGGGCAGAACCATCTTGGTATTCATCTATAGCCATAGGCGTGTCCCTTATTCCCCCTGGACTCAGTATCCACTCGACACCTGAATCATCGTGTATGTCTATTTCCTATGGATAACTGGAACTTGTCTGGAAAGTATACTTTGGTCTGCCCCTGTCTGATAAGCAGGTGAAAATAATGAGTTAGAACCATGTGGGAGAAGTTAATTACTCAATTAATTGTGTGGTTTTGAACTGGAAGAATTTATTAACATTTCTTTCTCATTGCTGCCAGGAAAAGTTCATACTTAAAAATTACATGAACATGCAGGTTGACATCAACAGTGACATGAGGGCCATTCTTGTGGACTGGTTGGTAGAGGTACAGGTAAGCCTGATGACTTCTGCTTTAAGGAGCTGCTATTCTCTTTCTCATTCAGCATTGCCAGGCCAAAACATGGTAAAAATTTACCAGATCTACAGAGCTGAATAAGCCATGGCAAGGAGCTTATGGTTTAGGGACAGGATAAGACATGCAGGCAAATAAGTATAATACAAAGTAGAATATATTAAGTACTATAATAATGTTATAAATAAAATACTATGAGAACCCAGTGGAAGGAGAGACTATTCTAGAATAGGCAGTGATGGTATGGTGGTTTTATCATTATCAAAGTCTTGTAAAGGTGTACCTAGTGATTTGGATTGGGGTCAGTGCCAAACAGGGTCTTTCAAGCTTTGGGTGGTGGGATGGGTGATAGGAATGACAATGTGGCACCAGATGTGGCAAGTAGCTGTTTGTCGGGGGATAGATATTGAGGGAGTACTGCTATGGATACTTAGTAATTATTTTATATTAAGGAAGGAGAGCTCAGAGTAGCACTTGGCATATAGTAGGGAGTCAATCAGTGTTTGTGGAATGAATAGAATTGAATGAATTGCCATGGAGTTTGCAAGGAAACATAATGCATAGTCAGTCTGTGCCCAGAAGAGTCTTACTATATAATTGAGAAGAAAAGGTGATATAGTATTATATCCTTTATTAAGTACCAGAGGATTGGTTCAGGCTCACTTTTGAGTGACAGACCAGGGAAATGTGGTAGACACAGTATATATGGATGGCAGCAAAGCACAAAAATGTCTCTCATCTTATGGAAATGATGGAGAATAATTAGGTAAGAGTAGAATTCAGGTATGTCTTAAATAAGTAAAATAGAACCCAAATATTGTTGATTATTACTGAGCTAGAAAGAGATTTCTAGTGGACTTCCATTGGACTTTGTTCTGATCAACATTCTCATTAGTGATGAGAACAGAGAAGATCTACTCATCAAATTCTTAGATGACGTGAAACTGGGAGTAGGGATAGGAAACAAATGGATAACAGATAAAATATCTCTACCAGCTGGAATGATGAACTATTTTTAGAAAAACTTTTATTTTTATTTCAAAAAATGCACATTTATTATAACAAAGTAAGAAACTTACCTCTGATCCCATAACCACTGTTAACATCTGTATGAGTATATTATCCTCTTATCTTTAAGCAATGATTATCCACTAGGGGTGCACCTCAGAATCACAGATGCCTAGGTCTCATCCCAGTCTTATCCAATCAGAGTTGTGGGGATGTGTGTGGCCCAGGCACACATTTTTATAAAGATCTACAAGTGATGCTAATGTATACCCCTTGGTAGAGAATTGCAGTTCTAGAAAATGTCATAGTTTTTATAACTATAGTTTTTATATTTTTAGGTAATCAGACAGTAAAATTGACTTTTGTGGTATACAGTTCTATGAAATTTTAACATATGTTTTGAAATAATTTGCAAGTTGCAAAAAAACTGTACAGAGAGATCCTATGTACCATCCACCTAGTTTCTCCAGACAGCAACATCTTGAACAATGGTAGTATAGTGTCAGAATCAGGAAATTGACTTTGGTGTAATCTACAGATCTTATTTAGATTTCACCAGTTTTACTTGCACTCATTTGTGCTTGTGTATATTTGGTCTATTTTATCACCTGTGTAAATAGACATTTAGCCTACTTTATCACATGTAAATTTTGCAATAACCACCACAGTTAACATACAGAACTATTCCATCATCACAAAGATTTCTTGTACTACCTTTTATTAGCCACAGCATATCTCTCCCCTCACCTTCCTGTCCCTGACAACTAATTTGTTCTCTGTCTCTATAAATTTGTCATTTCACGAATGTTATTCTCATATAAATGGAATCATACAGTACCTTTTGAGCTTCATTTTTACTACTCACCATAATTCTCTTAAGATTCATCCAACTCGTGTACCAATAGCCCATTCCTTTTGATTGCTGAGTACTATTCCATGGTATGGATGTACCACAGTATGTTTAACCCTTCACCTATTGAAGGACACTTGGATTGTTTCTAGTTTGGGGCTGTTAAGGATAAAGTTGCTATAAACATTTGTGTACTTTTTTGTATGCACATGGTTTTTATTTCTCTGGCATAAATGCTCAAGAGTATGACAGTTCCATGAATTTTAGCACATGTATAGATTCATGTAAACACCACCATGGTTAGGATCAGTTACACAGACATTTCACCACTCAAAAACAAAGCAAAACTTCCTCATGTTGTTCCTTTGTAGTCACACCCTTCTCCCACCCCTAACCTCTGGCAACCACTGATCTATTCTCCATTACTTTGCCTCTTCAAGAACATTGTATAAAAGAATTGTATAGTATGTAACCTTATGAGACTGGCTTCTTTCATTTAGCATAATGCCTTTGGATATATCACATCATTTGGACATATCACAGTATGTCTATCTGTTCTCCTGTGGAAGGATATTTGGGTTGTTGCCAGTTTTTGACAACTGTGAAAAGAACTATACATTCACATACAGGTTTATATGTATGTGAATATATGTTTTCATTTCCAACCCAGGAGTGGGATTGTTGGGTCATCTGATAAGTGTATGCTGAACTTAATAAGAAACTTCCACAGAGTGGCTGTACATCTTGTGGTCTCATCTGCAATATATGAGAGTTCCAGTCGCTCTGTATCCTTGCCAGGACTTGGTGTTAGTATTTTTTTATTTTAGCCATCTGTGGGTAGAGGAATCTCATCATAGTTTTAATTGGTATTTTCTAAAGGGCTAATAATGTTAGTGACCGTTCTTGTCATCCATATATTCTCTTTGGTGAAGTGTTTGTTCAAATCTTTTGCCCAGTTATAAATTGGGTAATTATTTTCTTAGTATCAAGTTATAAGAATTCTTTACATATTCTGGATACAAATTCTTTGTTGAATATGTGATTTACAACTCCTCCCAGTCTGTAGTTTTTATTCTCTTTCACAGAGCAAAAATTCTTAATTTTGATAAAGTCCATTTTGTCAATGTTTTCTTCATGAACTGTGCTTTTTGTGTCATGTCTAAGAACTCTTTGCTTAAACCTAGGTCATGAATATTTTCTCATATATTTTATCTAAAAGTTTTCTAGTTTTATTTTTTAAATTTAACTTAATTAATTTATCTTTGATTATACGTATTTATGGGGTTCGGAGTCAACTATCAGGTTTTTTATTGGTTATGAATATTCATGAGATACAAAGCTGATTGTCATCCCTCATGCCTGTGATGTGGGGGCCAGATTCATACTGGCTGTATACTCATTACCACAAATTGCATTTGTACCCCGTGTCCCCCAACCAATTATCCTCACTCTCCCTTCCCCTCCCCCTTTTCCTCCCACTCCACTTTGTAGTCCATAGAATGTTCTCTCCCTCTGCAAATCTGATGCAATTCTGTGGTCTTTCTTTCCTTAACTATCAGTTTTTTAGTTTTAAGTTTTACATTAAATCTATAGTCTATTTTAGTTTTTATGTAAGGTATGAGGTTTAGGTTAAGGTTAATTTATTTGCATATGAATGTTCTTTTTTTAACACCATGAGTGGGGGGGAAAACCTATACTTTCTCCACCGAGTTGGTTTTGCACCTTTGCTAAAAATAACTTTTATTGGTTTATTTCTGTATTCTGTTTCAGTGATCTCTGTGTCTATCCCTTCGTTAATATCACACTGTCTTTATGTCTGTAATTTTATAGTAAGTCCTAAAACTGGGTAGTGTGATACTTCCAACTCTATTCTTTTTCAAAATTGTATTAGCAATTCTACTTCCTTTGCCTTTATATGTACATGTTAGAATCAATTTGTCTGTATCTGCAAGAAATCTTGCTAGGAGTTTGGTTAAAATTGATTTATATTTTGTGCAGAAAAGAGTCAGTGTAACAGATCTGATACTGCTATCCTTAGAAAGGCCTGTTTGCAAGGTTGGCTCTTGTGTGGTATCTGGAAACTTAGCTGGTAAACAATTTCCTACACTGATATAAAACCCTCCCTAAATGATAACTGTGGCTCACTGTGCCTAAACTCTTTGTGCTAACAATGTGGTTTATGCTGAACACTGCTTTCCTTCTAGGAGTCTGGAATTTCAGAACATGCTAGGTAGAGTGTTTATGTGACCAATTCCCAGTAAAATTTTGGGCACTGAGTGATTAGCTTATCAGGTAGACAGCACTTCATATGTGTTGTCGCAACTCATTACTGGAGGAATTAAGTACATCCTGAAGAGATTCTACTGGGACAAAACTCTTAGAAGCTCACTTGAAGTTTTCTCCAGGCTTTGCCCCATGCTCTTTTTCCTTTTGCTGCTTTTTATCATTTCTTTGCATACAGTATTTTATTTTATTTTTATTTTTTACATATTTATGGGGCACAGAGCTGACTATCAGTATGTGATGATAAAATCAATATTAACATGTTCATCATTACAAATTATAATTGTTCTTTGTATCCCTTACCCAATTACTCCCTATCCCCCTCCTCCTCCCCCTTTCCCACCTCTAGTCTGTTTTCTCCTTCTGAAAGTTTAACATTTTATTGTGGTCTGTCTGTCTTCTTTCTTACTTTAAAGCATTCAATCTTCATAAATGCAAATAATATTTTTTTTTTGTCCTTTTTGAGACCGGCCGCACCACACTCAGCCAGTGAGTGCACCGGTCATCCCTATATAGGATCCGAACCCACAGTGGGAGCGCTGCTGCACTGCCAGTGCTGTACTCTCCCGAGTGCGCCACGGGCTCGGCCCACAAATAATATTTTAAAACTTGCATGTTTCTTCCTTGTCTCAAAGCTGTAGGTAGCTGTAAAATTAAATAAAGCCTACAGTATTTTAATTTTTATATGTGTCCTTCCAAACATCTCCAAAAATACATTTCCTGAGGTAGGGTCCATATATAAAATGTTTTTCTATTGAGTTTTCATAAGTCAAATTTCCTTGTTAATTTTCTTCAATCTTATAAAGAAAGTAAAACTATTTCTTATTTCGCATGTGTA